TGGTCCTGTTAGAAGAGTGGTTCTGTTAGCAGCATGGTCCTGTTAGAGGAGTGGTTTTGTTAGCAGCATGGTCCCACTAGCAGCATCCTGTTAGCAGTCTGATACTGTTAACAGTGAGGTTCTCTTAGCAGCATGATCCTGTCAGCATTGTTGTTGTCTCCCTCCACACATTACATTGTGACTAGGATGGCAGTTTTATTCATGTTTCCTGGTCATAATGCTATGGCTGAATGATTAATGTCTACACCATTGCAAGGTTCTTTATTGTCATTCACATAACATGTGGCACATGAGGTGGAACGAAATTGTGTACACAGGGTCCCAGTTACACCCCAAAAAAATAGTAAAAATGTAAAGTATTCAAACATATGTATTTAAAAATATAAAGTATAAAAAGAAATGGGATTAGATAAGGATCTAAGATATACACTAAGATAGATGCTAAACGAACGCTAAGCGGTACACAAAAAGATCTAAGATATACGCTAAATACTAATAATGTAAAATAATATGGTATATTAAATAGCAGCCCGAACATTTATGGAGGCTTGATAAACGTTATATGCATTCTATTGTAGCAGAAAAACAAAATGCTACGGGTAAATTAATTTATGACAAACAACAGGCTTCCTGAACTGTATAATGCCAGATGAGTCATGGCGAGTAAATGAAAGGCATTTATTCATAATAAAGGTTTGAGTTGTCTCTCGATCATCTACCTCACTGAATGCTCATGCTCACTGGCTGACTAAGATCTGGAGAAAGGCTTTAGTCACTACAGTCTCTTCCAATGATTCGACACGGCTGATTTTCTGAGGGGAGTGAAGTGTTAAAGCAGTAAAAAAATGTTTGTTAACCTAAAAATGATGTTAAAAAAGCAACTTCTCATTTGCTTGTTGTTACTCGTTGTTCATCACTTGTTATAATTTTTTTTTTAAACTTCACTGTCTGCTTTGAGTTAGGTTGTTAGGAAAGCTGTTGCGGTTCATTTCATTATGACCTTATTAATATGAACAGAGACCCTCTGTTGTTCTGCGTAGGTAACCATAGAGGTGGTTGATGACCCTCAGATGGAGGTAGAGATGGACTTGGCCAACGAAAAAGACTGGCTACCACCTTCATCCCCGTCGTCCACAGTGGACCGTCTCGGTGAAAAGAAGATTTTCTGGCCGCTCTTTTGGAGTTACACCGACACTGATTCTAGTGAGGGCAGCAACAGTCGATCAGCCATGGAGGAAACCACTGAAGAAGAAGAAGAAGAAGATTACTCCCTGGATTACGGTAGTGAAGAGCCCTTACCAAGTGGTGTGGGCAGAGACTGGGATACCCATTGGAACGAAGGTTGGGATCCCATACAGAGATATTATGGTATGCTTCACTAAATGACACTCTTTTCAATGATTACCAGTTATTTTCTGTCTGGTAAACGGTCTAATTTTGTCACAGCAAATAGAGGAATAATTAAATTGACCTTTAAGGAATGGTAGACAGAGAAAGAACAGGATTAGTAAAGAGGGCCAACCCACTGAGTGGCTCTTGTAGACTGTCACAGAGAACCAAACGATGCCAGCATACGAGGAAGCATGAGCACTCAACCATGAGGGTATTGTGGGTTACGGCTACTTTGAAGTCGACACTATCGTGCTTCTCGCAGAGGTCTGCCTTTTGAAAATGGGTTTGATGCGTTTGCTAATGGCAGCGTGAGGCCGGCACTGTTCCCTGGGACAAAACATCCCTCTGCTTGTGGACAATTAGAGGGCAGATTGGGAACACAGAATGACAAGGACTATTTGGTCGGACTCTTTCATCCTTCCTTCTGAGCCTGCCCCCCACCCCCTTTAGACCCCGATGGCCCTCACTGTCCTCTGCGGCTGGTCCTATTGAGCAGGTTCAAGAATTTAGTAAGACTGTAAGGGTACATTATTACTGTCCGTCTGCACAAACAATGCATTCAGTGACAAAAATAGAGAGAAATGTAAAAGAACAGGAGAGTGTACACAATCGATGACAAGGGTTAGAAAAAAGCTAAAAGAGGATCTTATTGTAGATTATTTCAATCTTAATCTAGCTACATTGTAATAATCCCACTCTACAGAGTAATTTACCAATGATGGATTTGTTTTTCGCCGATTTCAACAGGAAATTTCCTCTATTCATCTGTGACATTGTTGCAGGTATTTGAAACTTGTTTAACTCTAATCCTTTACCTTGTCTGAACCACTGAAGGGCAACAATGTCCGTTAAATGATCACATCTAAAGTCTATGAACATAAATCATGGATGCCGACCTTAGCTTGTTCTGTAATTATGGCTCTCCTGAGACCTCATAGTCATATGGCCACATGGCGAGTTGGCATTACCCACAAAGTCAAATTTGGGTGCTTGCTACACCCAAGCTGGTATTTCTGCACCCACCTCGCCTTTAATCAGGAATGACTTGTTTTCAGTGTTATTAACACCACAAGGCAATATGGTGCAGAGGCGGACAGCCACAGCACAGCCTCTCTCCCTCTAATTTTACTGAAGCCAGCCTAAAAAGAACATGGGTTTGCATGGGAAAGGTTAACCCGGGAGAAAATTATCATTTGTATAGACTGAGACGTTTCGGAAACTTTGAACGCTTGTTCTGGATTAGACTGTTGCAGTACACAAATCCTTGTCAAAACAAAACCATTTAGTTTTGTTTGCTCTGTTTTTGCACTGATCTAATCACAGAGTGTTTAGTTGGCTTTGATCTACACGGAGTGAATTACATGAACTTACTCAGAGCCACCGGTGATTTTAGATTTGTTTTCTCCCCCACAGATAAAGACACAGATGAATGGACTCCTTGGTCTCCATGCTCGGTGACATGTGGACACGGCGACAAAAAGAGGACTAAGTCCTGCGGCTACTCCTGCACCCTCACCGAATCCTCGAAATGTGACTTAGAGCCTTGCCCTGGTCAGATTATGCCTCAGTTATGAGAATAAAGTATACAGAGATCTTTTATAACGGTTTCCCACCTGATTTCTACTTAAATTAATGTATGACTCTCTTCTTTGTAGGTGATGACAACACTGTAGTGGAGCCTTTTCCCTTTGAAATGGAGAATGGCACAGAGCCATTTGGAACAGGTAAGCTTGTTATAACAACCATGAGTTTTATCATACAATATTTCTTTAAAATGATAGTCCAGATGTTTTGAAGTGAGGTTCTTTGGAAAGACTGTAAATAATAGACATCTTACTTAATAACACTTTGAATAATCCCAGTTTAGATAAATATAAGGTCAATTACACACAATCCTGTGGTTATTTACAAGTGCACAAAGCACCGGCAGCAGTTAGCTGTAGCACTTTGAGTGCGGCCTGAGGCACTTCTCTTAGGGATATTAAAACATTACTGCTGAAAAATGTGTAATGTAAAATTCATGGTGTCGTAAACGTTTTTAGAATACAGTAGTCTCTCGATTATCGCGGGGGTTACGTTCCAGACTCCACCGCGAAAAGTGAAAAACCGCAAAGTAGGAATGCTATATTTATTTTAGTATTTATAAATATTTTAAGGCTTTATAAATCCTTCCCACACTCCCGCAATGTTCTAAACTCTTAAACCTACGTAATTTTAACAACATACATATATGTACTGTATAGTACTGTAAAATTTTACTAATCAGCTCTGCAGAACAGCAGCTCAGTTCTGGTCTGGCTTGGTTCCGGTTCTACAGACCTACACTGCTGTGGTGAAGCCCACTACCCCATTCAGTTTGATGTGCACGTGGATAATTGAGCTTCAAGATTATTTACAACTTTCCTGCCAGTTCTGTGATCTTAATGGATAGCGTAGATTTGCATTTCAAAACTTTCCCTCCATTTCATTAGAAAGCAGTGGCCCAAAGCACTGTTGGCTTCTGGGTAATGTAGTTCTTTTGAATGGCCTTACAGTGTAGGTTTATTGAAAGGAAACTACAAAATGGTGGAGCCAGTCCAAAGTATTTTTTTTTTCCCGTTAACTTTATCCCGTAGTGTCCCAATCACATGTGTAATATTAAAGTTGACAATCATTGAAAAACCGCAAAAGAGCGAGTCCACGAAAGTTGAACCGCAAAGTAGTGAGGGACTACTGTAGTATTCACGCAAACCACTATAAGTTGTTATGTTGTTAATTGGATTTGTTTTAGGATGGCAACAATCCACTGTGGTCTTAGCCCTACTCTGACGAGCTGTTATTGAGGAATGGGCAGTCGTTGTTGAATAAACAGTCTAAGTAAAATGGAGCAATTCAAAGAATTATTGCAACGCTCACTGCCATCATCTCGTTCACAGTTGTGACACAACAAGGTGTTTCGAGTCCGGGTGCTTTATTCGACAAGACAATTGTTGCCCACCCCCCTCTCAACAAATAAATTATTATTTTCAGTTTCTGTTTCTGAAATGCTTTTAAAGTAGAAACTATGGTCACAGGCGAGCTTAGCCCAGCTGCCAGAAAATGTGCATCCCCTGTCACGTTGACCAGAAGCTCTGACTGAAAACATCTCAGGACTAAAAATAATAATTACAGAAGAATTTAATGAGCGTTTTTGCTTAAAAAGCCCATCCCTACTGTTAGCTTATCAGTTGGACTGAATTGAGTTTTATTTTTCCAAACTGAGGTGATGAAAAAGCTATCTACAACAGGTAAGATATTAATTATTAAGTATGGAAAGCTGATGAGTTCTCATCACATGCAACTGGTCTGTTGTAAGGGAAGCAGAACTAGCCTGCTCAGAAGTGTTTTATAAATGCCAGACTCAGGGTTTGGACTTGACTCCATGGGAACACCTGTTCCTTCCATCAGCAGAGTACCACGAACCTCTTAGGACACTGTTTTAATTCCTTTGTCCTCCTTCCCAACAGATGTGGACAGCTGTGAGAAATGGCTGAACTGCAAGAGTGAGTTCCTGCAGAGGTATCTGCACCAGGTTTTGTCAGAGCTGCCCAGCTGCCCCTGCTCCTACCCATCTGAAGCGGCGTACACGGTGGTCAGCCTCCATGACGACACTCACAGCCGGTCGTTTCGCTGGCGAGACGCCAGCGGCCCCAAAGAGCGGCTGGATATTTACAAGCCTTCAGCGCGCAGCTGCATTCGCTCGGCTCTTTCCGGCGACTCGTCCACTCTCGCGGCGCAGCACTGCTGCTACGACAATTTCGGTCGGCTGATCACGCGGGGGAAAGGCGCCGGAACGCCGAACCTGATCAGCACCGAGTTCTCACCTGAGCTGCACTTCAAGGTGGATGTGCTGCCTTGGATCCTGTGCAAGGGGGACTGGAGTCGCTTTCACGCAGTGCGGCCACCCAACAACGGGCTGAGCTGCCCAGAAAACCCCCACGAAGACGTGTTTATGAACGAACTCGAAGAGGCCCGGGAGTACTGAGCCACTTCAAGTCAGGGCTTTGTCCTGATTTTAAAAGAGACAATAGACTTCATTAAGCACGTCTTTAAACCTCCACAGCTATCGAGCATGCATTACAACCTCAGAGAGTATATTTGTGACTTTCATGACGATGGTACGGTCGGATTATTTCAGTTTTAGGAATGGGCACATTGTCTTGACGTCAGGCTTGACTAACTGATTTACACAAATGGATGAAAAAACAAGTAATACTGCCTCATCGCTTGCCAATTCCTTTCACATCTGGTTTTACATCCGGCTCTTATGCACACACATTCCTGGGTGCATGTATGCATGATGTGTAATACTGGCTTACTTTATGATGCCCTGAAGTGTTTGTAGTTGACAACATCCACATTTTGTAACATTTGAGCATGTGCTGGTTATTATTTGGAGACAAACATTTGTATGGGCTGAATCCAGGGGATCCAAACGTTGCTGCTACAAAATAAATCCAGTCATTTCTCTGTGGGGTGCATGTCAGCCATGTCTCCATCGTTGTACCGAGGCAGGAGGACTTGTAATGTTCTGCTGTCCTTATCAGACGTGCTGACGGTAATTAGGCAGTAATGATCCAGAAAAGACCCCGTTTGATTTCAAAGGTTTCACCACACAGCTCGACTTCTTGTGTTTCTGCGTATTTTCTTTCACGGCCAGGAGAACGTGTGATCTGGGTGCCAAAGAGATAAAAATCAGAGCGTTGGTGCCAATCTCAATCCAGCCTCCGAGTCTCTACACGGCAGATGTAGACACAGACTCGGTTCCACAGCGAGGAGGTTTTTGCTCGTATAGGCGTGTCGCTGCAGTGTTCTCAGGGGGAGTAACGGACTGCGACAGACAAATGTCTTCATTTACCTTATCAGCAGAGCACAGCTGGGCCTTGTACAAAGTGAACAGAGATGAGTGGAAGTGTGTAATCTATGTAATCCAGATTGGAAGTGATGAACAGTAACCCTTCTGCCTGAACAGTTCTTGATACAGTGTGGTATCAGAACAAGCTGTTTTTGCACAGAACTCGACTGGATAGAAAGGACACGTTCCTCCTCGAATATGAAATCATTCAGCTGGCAGCTGGTACCCCAGCTGGGCACAGGATAACGGTACTGGCAGCAGGAACGGGCTGGCTCTACCAAATATTTCAAGCTTTTTCTGTTCGCTATGGTGTATGGTGTTCAAATAGTCTAGACGTTTGCACCTATAGTCATGTTAAAACTCCTCCCCTAAAAGTGTATTTTGGCCAATTTAAAGTGGGGTCCTGTAGAACGTTGTTTAGAAGTAATATCTTACCTGTTGCAGGTCATTTTCCAAACATTTTCAGAGTTTAATTGTGACTGTGAAGTTGCTGAACTGCAACAGTTCACTTTAGAAGTTTCCCCCTCTCGAACTGTAACGAGCTGATGTTATCTCGTCTGAGCCGACCCACTTCTAAAAGCAGAATGCTGCCATGCAACACAACTCGAATCATTTCTTTTGATTGATTCAAATTTCCTTGAGTGCAAGAAATGCACATGCCATACCGGTAATTTAATTCTTCAAACCTCAATACATTTAGACAAATATTTAATCATTTATATACAGTAGTCCCTTGTTTATCGTGGGGGATCCGTACCCTGAAGCCCTGTGATAATTGAAAAAACATGACGTAGGAATAGTAGTACAAGTAGTAAGTAGAAGTTTATTTTAGTAGTATGTATGTATATATATATATATATATATATATATATATACTCATCCATCAATCAGCCAGTTATGTGTCATGTCCAGTCTTATTTTGAAAAACCGCGATAGATCGAATCCGCGATAAACAACCCGCAAAGTAGCGAGGGACTACTGTTCATTTAAATGGATAATGAACAGATTTTCTGCACCGGAAGCACTTGCTGCTAGTTGCAAATAACCTCCATATTAGTTGTGAATAAATTAAAAATCTAAATAAACAACAAGCTAAAGGTTTATAAATAACAGCATTGTTGCTATTATAATTTATTTTTAATTGGAGTTGTTTTAAAACAGTACTAGTTGTTAGTGCATTAGTCAGAACTGAATACGCTTCAAACTGAGGTCATTCAAAAAGCCATCTAAAGCAGGTAAGATACTAATTGTTTAGTTGTGCACACCTCAAACTATCTCTTTAATGGTTGACTCCAGAACTCGTCTTTTCTATCCCTTGTATTTCAGTATCCGCTCCAAACGTATCATTTGGACATTGAAATATCCAGTTTTCAAAATAAGGCACTTTATTTTCGCCACTCTTTGATGACAGTTTTATTGTGAAGGTACACTCACAGGAAATGCTCCAGTCTTAAACGCAGAGGTGCGTAAACACACATGTACGTTTTAAGAAAAGCATGACTCTTTTGCGATTTCTAGTATTCCATACGTATATGGTGTTGTACAGTATTTATTTGTCTGTTCTCTGTTTTTTTTTTTTTTTTAAGTCTGCTGAAGTTTTGAAATGTCTCTGTACCCGACATGGTGCACTAATTAACAGAAAAATGAAGGCACCCGGCAACAAAGGGAAAATGTTTGCCTCGTGTTGCTCCATCCTGTAACAACAGGTGTCTGTATTTCAGTTTGTGTTGGACTGCCATATACTGAAGAATATATATATAAAGAGTTTGCATTCAACTGATTTTTTTCAGTGTTGCTTCTTTTTCCACCCTTGTCTGCCAAGCACGTGCTGTAAAAACAACTGTTTTCTCTCCAACGCTCAGAAAGAAGGCCAACGAGTCTAGTCTCGCATTTCAAATGACTCCTTTAAGAATTATTTCTTCCCTTAAAACGTGTTTTAATGATCGAATACAAAGTCGGACCATCTACAGACAAATGCTGAGTCCTACCCAACGCTGGTGGAAACTGCTTATCTTTGTATTCTGCACATGTGGGTTTGTAAGTTATGAGAAGTCATGGGAATTGAGGCTGCGATGTCACTTTTCTAAACAATTTCTTCAATTTTCAACAAGCAGTGGCAGGCCTCAGTTTCAAGGTTGCCTCGGTTACAACATGTTGGTAATTCAACATCATGCAGGTGCATCTCAAAAGCTCGTGAAAACGTTCAATATATTTTTATTAGTCATTTCAGAAAGTGAAACTCAGTTTTTATTTATTTATATAAATTCATCTGACAGAGTGAAATATTCCAAGCCTTTATTTCTTGTCATTCTGATGGTTGTGGCTTACAATTAATGAAAAACAAACATTCAGTGTCAGAAAATTTGAATATTGTGAAGAGGTTCAACATTGAAAACTCACGGCGCCAATATGATCCGCTGATTAACTCCTAGACTGAATTCTTGTTTGTCAAAATGTATAAGCCATAATCATCAAAATGATACGAAATAAAGACGTGAAATATTTCACTCTATGAGTAATGAATCTATGAGTTTCACTTTCTGACATGGCTGACAAAAGAATTGAACTTTGGCACAACATTCAGATTTTATTTAGATGCACCTGCAATGCCAGGCTGACCGTATAAGCCATTGTAAATACATCTAAAGCATTCACAACATCCTAAAGAAGGTTATCAGATGGTCTTTATACCTTTTTTCTGCAATGTAGTTTGCTAAAATAATAATAATTCATACAGAAGCAAAGAACATCTACTTTTAATGACTTGTAACTCCCTGTGATGGACTGGAGACCTGTCCAGGGTGAACTCCGCCTCTCGCACAGTGACCCCCGTGACGTGAAGACGGAAGAAGCGGGTAAAAGATAACGGATGGATGGACTTTTGTAACTAGTTATTTGGGATTACCAAGCTACTTTGAGTTCTAGCTCATGGATCATCCATCCATTTTCTTTACCCGCTTATTCCATTTTGGGTCACGGGGGTCACTGGTGCCCATGTCCAGCAATCACTGTGCGAGGGGCGGGGTACACCCTGGACGGGTCGCAAGTCCATCACAGGGCCACATAGAGACAAACGAGACAAACAACCATTCACTCTCTCACTCACACCTAGGGACAATTTAGAGTTACCAATCAGACTAACATGCATGTTTTTGGTCTGTGGGAGGAAACCGGAGTACCCGGAGAAAACCCACGCATGCACGGAGAGAACATGCAAACTCCACCCAGAAAGGCCCCTGGACCGGGGTTTGAACCAGGGACCTGCTCGCTGAGAGGCAGCAGCTCTACCAGTTGCGCCACCGTGCTGCCCAGATTAGGAATATGTTTTGTTGAATTGTGCGTTTGAAATAACAAAAGTGTGCCTTTTTAGGTCAAAAGACACAAATATAAAAATTAAATATAACTTAATCTATGGTATCTCAGGATTACAAGATAAAGAACTTATCTCAAGAAAAAAAAAAGCTTGATTTCTTGAAATAAAAGGAAAAAATAGTCACTTTCTGGAAGTAATGGCTTTAAAATTTGCTTCTAAATTGTCCTCTCAAAGCTTCTGTATTGTCACATGAACTATGCAGTTTTTTTGGTTGCTGGAGTCCCAGTTTGGTCTTGGCCCAGCTGAGACCCTAAGAGCTCATCAGTCCGGTCAGAATTAAACTCTAGTTCGTGTTCAAAGACACATTTACAATCAACAAAATGCTGTCCTTCATTATCTTTCCACTAATAATTCAAATTTAAGCACTAAACGAAACATCAGGTATTCAAACCATGCATCCCATAAAAAGAGCTGTTAAATGTAAAACCAATAAAGCCCCTTTATACCTTTGCTTATAACCACCATTACTGTGGTTTGAAGGTTGATCTATGGTGGCCACTGTGTTTTTCTGAGCCCGCAGTCTTTCCAGAGGATTAAATAACCTTGAGATTAAGCGTTCAAAGGTCAGAGCAATGCAAATCCATTGGCTTAGACAATCCATATAGTCCTCTTAAATACTCTAATTCCAGCCAGTCTATATTTTCTCTTTGACCCTAAAGAAAAGAGGTGAATGCATTGACAATGAGACACTTGATGCAAAGAGAGACACAATTAACAGACGTTTACTAATGCCAACCAGAGACACAGAGGGGATGCTAAGAATGAACCCATCTGTCTGATTCCTCTAATAAACGGTTTGTGGGACGCTGTGTGGTTCTTAAGTTGAAGAAAAGTGAGCGAAGGGAAACCAGACACATGTTGACCACATTGCTGCCACAGAATAACAGATAAATAACCACAGATGTGCAGA